GAGCAGGTCCTCCCAACCTTGCATCCAGCAAGCTGTGCACACTCATCTATCTCATCCTCCCTCTACTCCCAGCATCACTGTGACAATCCCAGTAGCAAAGCAAAATCCACTGTACTGACAGCACTATTATTCCCCTGCAGAGCCTTCTACAAGGCACCAGGAGGAGACAGGCCACCCTTTTGGGTTCACACACACACACACACACACGCACCCCACCCCGGGAAGGAAACTACCCAAATCAGCATAGACCCCTGCAGCACAAAGCCTCCTTCCCTTAGGTTCGGTATGTTAGGGATGGCTAGCATCAGCCCTTTCACATTCTGCTTCGTAGCACAAGAGCACACAGACAGCGTGTAGCACAGAAGCACTTACAAAGTGTCATGTAAGCCTTGCCTCCCTGTTTCAAAGAACGTAATCCATGCCAGCACTACCTTGCACACTTGCTGCCTGGCTGACTAGCTGTACAGGGTTCGGAACCAGTATTTCAAAAAAAAAAAAAAAAGTCATACCTGAGATTGAGAAAAGGAAGGAAGCCATGGGAGACTGAAAGCAGCCCAGAGCAATCTGAGCATTAGTTCTCCCAGCTGGAACTGGAGATCTGGCTGGACCTACATGGAAGCACAGCCTCTGTCCTGGCCCACCACTTACACTACACCAGGCTTGGTGCCTGCAGCGCTTGGTTTTGGCTAAATAGAGTGGCTTGTGTGCACTCAGTGCTCTGCTTCCAGATCTCTCCATCTTCCAGCTCTGCTGCCAGAGCCAAGAGCATGGCAGAGAGGGAACACAACAGGACCCATGGAAGGGTACTGCAGCAGTGCCCTCCTCAGTGTGCTGAAATCATCCCTTGGTGCACCTTACAAACCTTCTGTGTAGGGTGTACATGATATTCTCACCTCCCTCCAGGAGCTCCAGTCCAGTGTGGCAGCCATCTCCTGGTCTGAAACTACTGACCAGCTACACTGACTGCAGCTCAGGAGACAAGGGAAGAACAGGCTTTGAAAGCAGACATGATGATGTTCAGCTCAAAGCTACAAGAGCACATAGAAGGGTGCTATCCTCAAAGATTTGGAGATGAGGCTTTCAAGGCACCCTGCTCCAGTCTTGTCATGCAGGAAGGAAATGTTCAACCCTTCAGCAAGAGGAAAGACATGCCAATGGCAGCTCTTAAACAAGCAAAGTCTCATGGAGGAAGGATGTCAGGGCTCTGCAGTCTCAAGCGTTTGAAAGAGCTGGAATTGTAGGCCCTCAGTTGCAGGAAATGTCCTCTCTGCATTGTCCTGGAGGAGACCTGGAGGGCTCTGCAGTCCCATAGCACCACCACCTGGAGATGAAGGCATAGGACTGGAAACTACTGTGCAGTTCAAGGAGGAGCATGGATGGAGGTTTATCCAAAGCCTTCCTCTTCCCACTGAGCAGTACTGTGTCCAGAAGGAATCTGGGTCCTCTCCTGCAACAGCAACGTCTTGATCAGAAGATAGGTGCAGAAGTCAGTGGTAGTTTCTCCGTGGGATGTGCAGCCCAGATGATCCATCACCATCTTGCCCCTTCAGGAGGATGGACTGTGATATCTCTGTGGTTAGAAAGGGGATTATCATTCCTAAAGAGCAAAGGACCCTGAATTCAACTCCACGGACTGCTCAAGTGAGCACAACTCACACCAGGCAGGCCAGACCCTTCCATAAGGAAGGATGCTACGCTGCTAGATGCACCAATGCACTCTTCATGTTGAAAGGCTTCCTGAGGACACCAGATTAAATCCCCAGTCCATCTCCTGCCTCCCAGCAGACCATTATCCCAACACACTTTATTTTCTTGAGTGCACACAGAGGCAGAACTACAGCAGCATTTCCTTCTGGCGGACTTTAACCAGGACTCTGAGGCCCATAGCCACAACGAGGGGAGGAGGAGGAGCTAGGACATACAGCTGTACAGGGTTGATATATGGGAACAAACATCCACAGCACACAGCAGAACCTGGGAACCTGCAAAGGGAGAGGCAAGGGCCTTCTGCTCCCTTACAGAGAGTCCCTAGTGCTGACATCAGAAAATAGCATGGAAAAGCACTGCCGATTTATGAACACCTCTGATCTTTTTCTCCAAATCATCAAAGACCACAGAAGCTGGAGCCCTAATAAGAGAACATTTTTGGGCTGTAAAGTAGGAGGAGACACATGAAGCACACCTAGTGTCAAGGAAGGCTCCTGCATGAAGCCCTGCTTTCTGCCCTAACAGGATCTCATCGCATGCTCAGGGGCTAGGGAGGGATTTTGCTCTTACACTGTTGAAACCTGCTCTTTGCCTTGTTCATCCCAAGCTGACACTACTGCTCATCCTCAACAGCAATATGTACATCAAAATTAGCCAGGCCCAGACCTACCTGTGAAGAGAGGGAAGAATCCAGGCTCTGGCGGAGGCATTGGCCTAACATGTTCACAAACACAGCCTGCATCCTCCCACCTTGTGACAGGAATTAGCACAAAAGCGCTCTTCTCCCTTCCAGCTTGGGAGCATTACTCTCCTAGGTGTTCATAAGCCAATCTGAGAGACAAACTCCACCAACCGGGCATTCCTGCAGAGGCTGAGTGCTGCAGAAGGTCGCTGAAGCGCTGCCACATGCTAGTGCTCCTACTGAGTGCTTGGTGACATAAAGCTGTGGGCTGGGATACCCATACGACAGCCTTTAATTGTTATGAGTAGTTCCTACAAGAGAGAGTTGTCATATTTACCCCAGATCCCCTGTTATGGGGAACGTGCTCTGCAGCATTTCATGACCACATCTGGGGAAGGACACACCACTGTGGAAAATGGAGAGGTGCCTTCTTTGCCTTCCAACACCCTTCTGCACAAACTGCTGCCTCTGTTTGCTGCACTCTAGGCCTGGCTCTTATATAGGCCTCTGCCTAGCAGTGACTCACAAGGGTGCTTGACCCACCCAATCAGGAGCCACCTGAAACAAAAGCCCCAACTCCCTCTGACCAGGGCAGCCCAGAGAGCTCGTTAGCAGCAGCCCCACCTAGCTAGAACTTCCCAGGAGAAGTGAAGTCAAGGCCCCCTGCAGGAGTCCTTGTCTAGCTCTCCCTTCCTGCTAGTAGCAAGCAACATCTAGTTCCTCGGGGGTCCCCAGAAAGCCTCCACAACTTCCAACAAGGCCCCCAAAAGGCCCAGGAAGAGCCCAGACACTGCTGCGCAAACTGCTGTGTGTGTTCGCTGCCTCTGTCTGCTGCACTCACATGCATACGGGCCCACATTGAGCTCTACGGGCCTGTACAGGCCCATGTCTAGCTTGTACTGGTCCAGGCCAGCCTCTACGGGCTCCTGTGGGCCCACACTGAACTCTATGGGCCTGTACAAGCCCATGTCAAGCTCATATGGGTGCGTGCCAGTCTCTATGGGTTCGTGACACTGTCTCCCATCACATCCTCGTAGGTAAACTCAGGAAGTGTGGGTTAGATGAGTGGACGGTGAGGTGGATTGAGAACTGGCTAGAGAGCAGAGTTCAGAGAGTTGTGGTCAGTGCCACAGAGTCTAGTTGGAGGCCTGTAGCTAGCAGTGTCCCCCAGGGGTCAGTCCTGGGTC